ATGTTGATCTAAATTATGCTCCATAATATTCCGTGAATTTTGTGTGATATTAAGTCATATATAATACTCCTCCAGAAGTGTTATGGTAGTATTTGCGAAATATTTTAAATAAGCAATATCCATGACTTGATCGTAATGTTGAAATAGTTGTAACCGGCTTGCGAAAATAACAGAATTTGATGCCAGACTTTGGAGCTATGGTAGTAGATATTGATGTATGTGCCATGTTCTACGTTGCGTTTGACTCACTGACTAATGTATGATCACATTACAATGTGAATTGTTTATGAAATGATACTCGTGTTGGAATACCATATCACACACATTTCGCTAGTTACTTTCAGTTTGTATTGGGTTACCTTTAATAAATTACTAAATAAATATCATATAGTTTAAGTACGAATGCGCTCTTTCTAATTTTAGTTAGTTAAAGCTTTTACACGATCTGAGGCCACTGTGGACCCAGTTGTCGGTGGAGCATATTCCGTCTTCAGCGGAAACATTACAGGAATCTTCGACTTGCTAGTAAGTCCCACTGATTTTTGTCCACGTAATTTTTCGAAAAGCACTAGTATAATTCAAAAGTAAACTTGTCTATATGTAGTCACCAATTTTTCACACATTCGTTAGGGTAAATCTAAACAAAAGAATAAGTTCATTTGATATGAAACAACTATAGTTAGTTTAATGAAGTTAGTTTTCTTTTCAACAATACAATTCACTGAAGCTGTACAATTTTATTTAAAATTATTTTAGAAGTCTGGTGGCTGACTAAAATTATACTCATTGAGCGGTATAAATCGCATTCAATATTTGGTAAAATATAACAGGGATCAGGAAGAGGTTTGATAATGACCGATACGGTTATGATACAATTATGGGACTTAACAGTGGTCGTAATTAGAAAGTTTAATAATTAATTGTCCATCTCGTTATTGTGACCAATTTATATGCGATTGTAAATTTTTTATCAACTTCACGTAACGTACTGTTTCCTAGTGCTTTTTCAGTTTATTACACTTTAGTTCTTAATGGTACTAAATCATTAGCTCAATTTATGATTAACTTGCCAAGTGTGGCTATGTAACTCCACATTACCTCTCGAAATTGTCCGCGAAACCAAATAACGTGATTCAACGAATGCGGGATCAGGTATGACAGACATAAAAAATGCACTAAATTGAGCTCAAACTCCTCAAAGACGACCTTTTAAATCCTGCTTTGCTCCAACCTTTCCGTTTGTTTTGATCTGGTCATTAAATTTTATCTATCGCCTTGATTCTCTTTGTTGTTCTGTATTTACCGGATGAGAAATCCATTCGTACTTCTCATCCTTGATTTATTTTTTCCACTAGACGGATTTTTACTTCATCTCTTTGTAATTATTGTTCTAATGTTTCATTCATTCTCACGATCCAATTCTAATCTCATTTTGATTAACTACTATGTGTGAAGGTATTGTGAATATGTTGTAGAGCTCCAGCGAATATTATTTTCAACTAATTGCCTTCACTTCTTTCAAAATCACATGACATCACCTTCGTAGCAAAACTGGTTTCAAGGATTTTACGGGAACTAGTAGATTTCAATTGTTCAGCAGTTTAGTCACATTGTCTTCTAACGTGAACTTAACGGTTTGATGAGCGGTTTAAATGTTTGTTCTCACAACGAACACTCACCCAAATCATACAGACTTAATCAGTCGGTAAAGTGTCCGTAGGTATGGCATGTGCTTTACACCTAAGTGTAGAGCACTTTTACAAGACTAGCAGGACCCTGTGCCTGCTCTCACTTTGAGTAGTAGTCGGGGAGTTCGCTTACCTGGATAGCCGTGTAAGTGTGCATAGTGGTATGAGTGATGAAATCAATTCACGTATAGTAAAAGCCATAGCGGCTTATGCCGATCTGGGCCATCTTTGGCGCCTTCGTGATGTTGGTCTGGCTGTAAAAGGTCGAATGTACAAACGCGTCGGTGAGGCAGTTTTTCTCTGTTCTTGCGAATACTGGCCTCCGAGTTGAGGATGTTAGATGACTCTCCGTGTTTGATTACTGTTGTCTCCAAAGGATTGTTGACATCCAGTGGCGACACCATGTTAGTAATTCAGAGGTTCAACAAGGTGTGATTGAGCACAGTGACGATAATTCAATTAGTGTCGCCATCTTGAAACACTGGTCTCGGTGGATTGGGCATATACTACAGATGTCATCTCAGTGGACTCCACACCGTGTTATTTGACGCACTGGGACTGGTTGGAAGAGGTGGTCAGTGCACGACATGGTGTCGTGATGTGGAAGAAAGCTGTACAAGACTGTCGGTTCTTCACACCCTTGAGGTGTCAGACATGGCTCAGAGTAGAAGCCAGTGAAGGTCCTGTTGTAGTGTTCTTCATATAAATGGGTTTTTAGTTGAAAGAATCTTTATACAATGTATATTTCTTGACTGAACTGCTACTCATTTTAAATTTTTCACTCTTATACACGAACTTATCTCATTGCCATTTTCTTCTGTAGTATACTCACCTTCCATTCTTTATCTTTTCACGACCTCATTTTTATTGTGTGGCACATATACATTTAATGCGGCAACTTGAACTGATGTACGTATGTACGAAGTTTTACGTTGTTGCTGATTGATACATTTTAATGATGCTTTGCACTGTTTTTGTTCAGATAAATTAGTTAGAAAAAGTAGGCAAGAAACCCTTGTCCCTGTTGACTGCAGAATTAGTTGGTTTCAAAAACAATGCGTATAAAGCAAAAAAGCGACAGCGCAGTCGTGACATTTTCCTCAAAACCTATATAAATCGTACTGATAAACGGGACGTTTTTGTTATCAAGTATGTGCATAGTGCGTCTCCACAGTAAAGTTAAGCACCAATAGTGCTCATGTTTCTGCTTGGCAATATTTCTTGTTTCGTTGGTGTTACGGTTATCATTCCTGTGAAACTTATGGTATCATTTTTACGTGTCCCAAACTTGTTTATGCATATTAGCCGTCTGGGATACTTTCTGTTAATAAAGTTCTGATTACTCACAGTTAGTCTGTTCACTACTGGATATTGTTTGTCTCAGCCATTTAATAGTTCAACTTTAATGCTTAAAGTTTGAATTAATATGAATCATTTTGTTGTCTACGAAATGTTCAGGATCCTGGTAAAAGTATTCAAATGAGGTGGCGTAAACGCGATTGGCCTGAGAACCACTACAGCTCACTGACTTTGGAAATGAATGCTTTTGAAGGCGGAACGCGCCTTTTTTTAGCACAGAAAAATGTTCCTGCCTATGACTTGGAAAATACTCGCGATGGATGGCTCACTATTTTCCTTGCTGCACTGAAACAAACTTACGGATATGGTGGACGTATGTTTTAAGAGCTTTACCAAAATGACTTCAAAAACCGGATGTCTGCTATGTAATAATGATAACATCTGCTTTTACATTGTAAGCGGTTAACAGCCTAATATAATATTTTGTGATATTTTCCCTTCTATTTTTGTTAAGGAATCTAGCAAATTGTTATTTGTCAAGCAGAATTACAGAACGTCTTTTGATCGTGCATTTCTCAAGCTAGTTATCCACTTAAGCCACACTCCCAAACCATTCCTCCGAAAAGGGAAAGTAACGGACTATCAGCAAAAAAAACATCCAAGGTTTGACAGTAACCGTACCATGTAGGATGATGTCATATCAAATGACTTCAGTTATGCACCTAATAAATGATAGAATTTTCGAGACTGTTCCCTAATGGTAAAGAAAGCTCAAGAATCTTATTAAAAATAAAATAGGCTAAGGATATTTCTTTCATTCACTCATTTAAAAATACAGGGTTCACGCCTATGCTAACTCCACATAAAAGCGGTAAAACTGTCGACAGTCTGTTCGTGATGTACTGACTGTTGTATTCACAGTTTATTTTGTATGCTGTCATTCTCTAACTTACGAGGACTCTTTGGTCATTTCTGCCATCTGTCGGGCAGGCCTAATCTTGGTTCATATCCATACTATAATTTGTCATTGTAATATAATCTCCCACACTCAAAGTTGATAAAGCTCTTTCATGCATAATAACAATTGATATAAGTCACTTCCCGAAATATGTACTATTAATAATCTATAAGAATGGCTGTGGCATTGGCTTAGGTTTCAAAGGTGGTTCGGTAACTGTCTAACCTTAAGGAGAACTTCTTTGTTGGAATTCATTAGCTTGAAAACTGCGCAGGTGCATTTGTCTTCCATAAGAACCGTAAAACTGTGAGACTTCCGTGAAGAGATGAAGATACATGTAGATTGCGGGTGACCGATCGCTTTCGTTTCTAGTGTTCTTGAATCATTAGACGAAGAATACTATACACTCTTCGCTTGAAAAAAATTAAACTACAAGTCTACACTGACTGAATATCAAACCACTACTACCACGACATGCAATTCAAAACCATTGTGAAGTTAAGGATGGACAAACCACCAGTGTGCTAAATGAGAACTGAGGACATTATGGTACAAATTAGTGATTAGAGACCAAGCAATATAACAGGAATGAGCACAATCACACAATGTGTTTGTATCGCATGTGGAATGCTCGGTTGAATCCACATTTTGCATGGTTTAACTATAGTCTCTACCTTATTTTAGGCTGGTCGCTTTACTGTGGTGTTATAGTCCATTTTCCAAATCCTGATAACGATTTAGGAAATATTGCCAGCATAAAGAACTGGGGAGTTTTTAAGTAAATTTCGAAACCTCAAACAAGGTTTGTATGCTAGTCCGCTTTAAAAATAAACTTAGATGACTTCCCTGCAGTCTGAATGAAATTCTCTCTGACGAAGAATTTTACATCAATTTTGTTCTTGGTATATTAAATTGACCACAGAGTCTCTTGTAGAATAGACCCCAACCTTTTGCAAGTGTTTTTAGAATTTAGTGACCGATGCTCGCTAGCGTCTCTCTAAATGTCTAAATAACCATTATAGTTATATTTAAGGCTAGTTAGAAGCTGGATTGTTCGGACTATAAACAATCAAACTTTGGTGGTCTATTTCAAAATGTCCAGCCCAATATACACGATAAAAGATCGTTGAAGTGCCCACAGAACCGTTTAATGAATTTGTAAAAAAGCTTCATTGTTGGTTCATTGCGTGAAGAAAAAGCAGACATAACAAGCTTTTTGTTAAGGGAGAAAATTAGTTGACAATTTTATACTATATCTGGCGATTGAAAAAGCTACTTGATCTTATCTCAAAAAGACTACTGATTAGGTACACAGGGAATCATATGTATAGATTAGTAAATAACAAATGTGATGCATAATGCAAAAGCTGGTAGCTTCCTTATTGTAAGTGGTACTAGTTTGGAACAGCGTCTACCGCGTCAGGAAGTCTATAGTGTCGCCATTCTTGTTTTTGACGATTAGCTGCAATAGCACTGTCGACAACAGCATCCATCATGCCTTCTGTCAAAACACCGTCTTCGCTGGAATATGCAGCTGTCTGTTACGGTTGAAATAGAAATAAGGAAGAGACATACAAAATATTAAACAATCGAGAGAGTTAAAGATAGATGGTCATTTTAGCTCATTTGTTAAATTAAACCAATACTTATGAAACCGGACTTTAATAATCAATGAAGTTGAGGGGAATTTTCAAGATTGATCAGGTAAGAAGTTTTCTAAATTCAACAAACACCAGTGTTGTTAGTTATTTTTAGACCTCAGTTTGAAGACCAATTGTTATTTTAAACAGTGTTTGGCGTGCACTGACCTGAACCAGAATGAAACGTGATGATAATATTGTGTAGATTAGTAATGAAAATAATGGTAATAAATGAAGCAGACAACATAAGCACAGGGCCAAAAAGATTTTACTTCTCTGAAGTATTGATTATATTTCGAAGAGGAAATTATTGCGACAGGAACGGCACTTACGTTAGAAGTCATAATACATATATGCACTTCTAGTCACTACAACCTTTATACTTCGCTATGAAATGTTTGAGTAATGGTTGTGACGATACCTGTAAACCGCGTTCAACCAGCCAATCGCTGTGTGAAACCTCAATAAAATGATGATACGGATTAAGTCCAAGCAGGTGTAACATTGCATAGTGTAGGCAATTAATGCAACAAATACTGAAACGACAACAGTAAACGCACAAAGTTATCGAAAGTCTGATTTACAGAACTAGGTTTTAACAAGTGCTGATCCTTCATGTACGTAATACAATGGCAAAAAAGTAGTTCAACCTAGATTGATCTTATTCCATATATCCTCATCAGCACTCGCACAAACATATAGAGGTCCTCGTAACTTTTCAAAGATGCTTAAGTATCTTTTACCATTAACGTAAACCACCTATTGTTTAATTCATATCAAGATGACTAAAGTTGTAAGTCGAAATGACTTGGGGATTTACTTAATGTTACACTGAGCGAAAGATTTACGCAAGTATACTTAATCAGGAGTTGGGTGATTTGAGGTAGCAAACTAATGTTAGTTTGATGTTCTAGCAATCGGTATACCAGACTTGTTCCGTTTCCATACATCACGGAGGCCGAGATAAATACTGGTAATGTGTTATCTAATAGTGCATATGTTACTTTTAAAGCTTTAGCACGTTCAGAAGCAACCCTGAATATTTTAAAATGTTTCTTTTTCCATTTGAACAATCGTTTACGTGGATTCTGGTATATCACTTAATTTTTTGTAGGATGAAAATACGACCACAATAGCATTCACGTTTATGAATTGACAACCTGGAAATATTTCAGTCATTTTTAAACGTTTAGAACCTATCTCTTTATTGCTTCTTTTAAAATGTTGCACTCTCACTGAAATTAATAGTACTTATGTAAAAATGTGAATCATATACCTGCCATCCAACTGCAATTTTAGAAATTTCGCGTCCAGAGAGGCCAGTCGTTCTTTTAGCGATCTCTGCACATTTTACAGCATAATCTATGTTTTCAGCTAGGCGAATACGGTGACTTTTGGTTAACGAAGGTTGAAGAAGGAAACGATCGAAATAATGCCTGACCAATCGTTCACGCTCTTCCAAACCAGGTAGTGTGAACTGAACAATTTCATCCATACGATCATTAATTGCCCAATCAAACTGTTCAGGTTGATTACTGGCTAAAACTAACATAAATCTATAAGAGGAAATATTTACGATTAATAGATTGATAAAAATTGTCTAGGGTTTAAGAATTATATGGAATAATGAACTAAAACTAGGTTGAATGACGAACACTATTGTATTGACTCTAAACTTTGTAAAGTTTACTTTTAGTAAAAATGGTCAAAGGTCTGAATGTCATACCTGACTAACACAACTTCCAATTATACCAACGGATTTATAGTGAATAGATACTGTAAGAAGCGTAGCATCTTTTTTAAATCGCTTTAACTTTTATGAATAATCCTGAAACATAACAAATATTGTGAACATATATATCAAACGACTACAATTCATAATACGGTAGTATGTGAACTTCCTATGCCACGGAACAGTTTGATTTGTATCAACGAATATACTTCATTGTTTGTTTTCAAACACTTGTAGAGCGCCAGCAATTTTTAATGAAATTCATAATCTTCTAAAGCTACGTATATGTGAGTGTTCTATAAGTGGTTAAAGTCCAAAGACTTGCGAGCTAATTTTCAAAATAAAAAGGATTCCATACCTAACCCAATCAGTGTGTATCTTTCCTACATTTCTGTAATGTCAACAATTGTAGAGTTAACTGCTTCTTTTAAATTGTGAAGTCTTAATGTTGTTCAGTAAACCAAAAGTGCTAATTACATATAAGCAATATTTTAATTGAATAAGTAGTCGTAGATATCTACATCTGACTGTTAACGGACCAACTACAACTTTTATTAATCTGGATCATTACGTGTGGTTTCTTTTAAGTAGATAGAATAGTTGGGGTAACCCGCTGAAAAATTCTGCTAAATTTTCGTTCTAATGTAGGAATTTAACTGTTGGTCCATATAGTACTAGTATTCGATTAAATTGTTTATTTCAATGAAGCCGTTCAGGTGTTGCACTCAGTTACAACTTAGAGGCTTTCATCGATATAATAATGTAGAATTTATTTTATCCCTAATTTATTCAGGTTTCTCAAAAGGCTACTAAAAAAGGCTTTTTCATTTTCTGCGTAGTGTGCAACGTTTTTTCGAGTTCACTGTATATAAAACGAAGTAAATTCATCAACAAAACTATTTACACTGTATACAGACAAAAATTCCTCGATTTTCCTGTACATTTGTGGTGTGTGCTACTGATGTCGACAGATATAAGTAGTATATATCATCAATCGAAAGTGAAATGCCTGGAGGCAGAAGGTTAAGAAGATCGAAGAAAAGAGAACAGAGAATGGTTGCTGTGAAAACGAAGGAACAATGAAGCCTGAGACGACTGATTGACATTTTTCAAATGAAGTATTTACTGTAGAGTTCTCATATTTTACTAAAACGTTTTGTAATTTTGTGTTCAAATACATTTGGTTGTCCCGCATTTGTGTTCGCGTTCACTACACATTTACAAAGCTAAGCTTATATAAAATGAGTGATTATCACACCTACAAGCGAAATCACATCATTGAACAATAAAAATTTCTAATTTATGAGCTTTAGACAGTTTAAGAGGAGCTGCGAAGTTTTTCGACGCATTAAATAGATTTCCTTACATTCTACACACAAAAAATGAAAATTCAAGCGTGCATACCTTTTGTACGTATTTAAACAAGTACTGAGTCGGTTTTTTCGTTTGCACAGATATGTCAATATTTGCTTAATAATACGGGAGTAGATAGGAAAACTGAAATAATTATCATTATAACGTTTCCAAACAGGTATTATTAAATATGATACCTGTTTGGTTCCAATGTCAAAGTATATAAAGCTATTCTGTTGAACAAATAATAAATGGTGATTGTGTTTGATACAATCAACCAATCAAACATCGGGCAAAGAATGGCCTGCAATACTAAAGAATGAGAGATACACCACTAGTGTATTAATTTTCTGAGAGACGTATATATATATACAAGTAAAACGTTACTTGATGACATATAGCTGAGGAAAACTGACAAACTTAATTATCTACTATCAGTTGCAGGGCACGATGCTATTAAATAATCAAAATTGGTCGGTGGGACGAAATTAGTACTGAGGACTGGACATGACGTTAATATTAAGGCTTAGCGGTTGATTATTGTGAATATCTCAACGTTAGAGGAAATTGGTAGTTAAATATAAACACTATCTTATTTGACAGATAATTCCCATTTAAACATTAAAAACACGAGGTTCAGCGAAGGGATCTCTTTTCGACGAATTTATTATCGAGCTGTACAATTGTATATATATGAAAATTTTTGTTAATGTACTAGTTTCGTGAGGAAATATGGACAAAGAATAACCAAGATGATGTAATAGAAAGATTATAATACTAGACCACGTAATACGAATAATAACGATTGACTTAATAAGTTAGTAACGAATTATAGCGTGAATGTAGTAAGACGATTAAAGTGTTTTTGTTACAATCTTATTTACTCTTTATGTTACCGAATACACTGGATATGTAGTACTGAGAGCATTGACGAAGAACTTACATTCCTCAGGAAAACTGATGAAAAATGGCTATCCAAACCGCTTCATAGATAAGAATATGAAAAGAAGTAGTAACAAGGAATCCGGTTGTTCCGTTCTAACGAAAAATCTTTATATAAATTTGGAATTTAAAAGTGATCGAACATCTGATGTAATCAAGAACTGTTTGACGACAGAGATAAACAGAACATTCTATGCGGCAAAAATGAAAATAACGTTCACTGGTAGGAACTTGTTTTCTGTATGCGTAAAAGATTCCCCGTCTGGTTGCCCCCATGTGCATCCACCGGTTTACCTGCTTTTGTGGAGCACGGTACATTTGCCGTAGCCAGTGCTCGCTTTCAACTTGGATACGGGGACATGTCCCAGTGTGGTTCTACAACGGTGAGAGGAAAGCAGTTAGGAGTTCCATACTTGAACATCTAATCAATTGTAACCATTCTACTGATCGACAGTTTGATTTTAAGGTTGTATATACGATTCCTTCAGATCTACCAACATTTCTTAGTATCCAACTCCTAAAAATAGTCGATATTCTTACCATCCCTGAGCTGAAGCCAGGAATCTGCGTACAAAAGAAGTACATCCTATCGTTATCGTCAACTTAATAATAATTATTATTACTGCATTTCTCTCCTTACTTATGTTTCAAAATCTCGTTATTTTATTTATAAGTGCTCGTGATATTACTTTATTTATTTTTAACACCTCTATGACCTTGAATTATTGTAACAAAAACACTCTTACTACATTCACGCTATAATTCGTCACTAACTTATTAAGTCAATCGTTATTATTCGTATTACGTGGTCTAGTATTATAATCTTTCTATTACATCATCTTGGTTATTCTTTGTCCATATTTCCTCACGAAACTAGTACATTAACAAAAATTTTCATATATATACAATTGTACAGCTTGATAATAAATTCGTCGAAAAGAGATCCCTTCGCTGAACTTCGTGTTTTACTGCCCTACTTAACCAAGCGTTCTAGAAATTGTGGGAAATTTGTAAAGATTTTTAACTAACTTCTTAGACTGTTCTCCAGTTCTGTACAAAAATGCATTTAAAGTTGCTCGGACACCTTCACTTATTCGTTCTTGGTCTCTTTTACGAAGAAATGCATCAGCCTCATCCACAAAAAGTAAAACTCTAAAAGAAATAAAAAAGTATTGAAGTCAAAATTAAATATTAAAGACTTGAAGTAATAAGCAGCCAGATTCTATAAATGATATTATGCAATCATCATTTTTTAAACAACAGAATTATTTCCAACTTTAAATTCACGCTCATTTCATTTGACTGGGATTATTAAGATAAAAAAATAATCTAATGTTTCTGATGTCCTAGGATCCAACCATTAATTATGACCGGGAAACGCAAGCGAACATGTATACGAGTCAAATATTTACTCTTTCCTTTATCTTATTTACTTATCTGTGTTAACCCCTTCATACAAAAACGGTAATCAACTGATTGAGGTCTGGTAACAATGTATCTTATGAGAATACATATTAACAACATGCCTTTGTTAACAGCAATGTGGAAGGATATATCTAGTTGCATAATATCTTACTAAGGACCATTACTTGACTTTGATGGGGTAAGCTATTTGTTTATACACCCTTAATTTAAACTTGTAATTTATATCAAACCCATGTATTCAGTCCACTTGATTGGAAATTTGAATTACAGAAAACTATTGACTATGCAAAATTAACTTAACTAATTATAACAACTCACACTGTGCAATTCTCAACTATTTATCCTTTAGAAGCGAAGCTTTAACAGAGATTCAGAATTATGATATATTATTTGAACTAGTGCTTTATTTCACCACTTAGTAGTAAGATAAGTAACTAGAATTAATGCATTTCACCACTTAACTTTTTGTTGCCATAATGGAGTTGGGTGTATTTGTACAAAAAACCATCATTACATACCCTTTACGACTAGTTTTGGCCCATTCGAAAACTTTGTGGACTGCAGTAACCCCTTCACTGCCCATAGGTGCAATATCTCCACCAGTTAAAATCGCGTAATCCATACCCGAATGCATAGCCAAACTCTACCAATTGAAAGAGAGAATGAAGTAACATATTGTCTGAATTTTTTCTATCCAGTTACCGAGGAGTGTTTAGAAAATAACCAAACAATATAAGACCGAAGTATTGACAATCTTAAAAGCTAAAAGAAGGTCCACAAAGAAATATTTTGCTGAGCGTCAACTTCAGTAAAAAGAAACCTACTAATATATGCCAGGATTGGAGATCTCCAAAAAATTGTTGAAAATTTGGTGCTTAATAAATATACAAAATAAAAATAATGAAACTACATTCATCATGAAAACTAAACGTAACATGGAGAGTTTGGATACAAACATATCTAAGATAACTTAATGTATATTAACCAAATAAGAATATTTAAATCAAATTTCGTTCCCTAACCTAATTTTATTTGCTCATAAAATTGATAATTTTTAAAAAATGTCAACGATAAGATATTTAAGTATATAGCTTTATTTCAAATACATGGTTTCCAGTGTATAATGAAATAAAAGACATGAACACGCTTTAATTAGTATTTTTAACTATGCAGCTTGCTGAATAAACAATTCTCCGTTTACTTACATCTACAATATCATCTTTTTACGGATGCACAAGTATTGACTATCACCAGGACTTCTAGTGAAAGTAAGACAGTTTCCATTTCCTATAAATTGACCCGAAACAAGTGGTAAAATGAACGGTCTAGTAGTTGTATTAATAAAAATATGATTCATAACTAAATGTTCCTTATTTTATTTACTTATATGAACAAACAAACATTAGTACAAAGAGACACCAAACATATGTGCGCCACACAATAAATATGAGGTTATGAAGAGATAGATAATAGAAACAGTATAATGAAAAAGAAGGGCAGTAATGAACAGAAGCAGATAAACTAGGAAAAATACAACCAGAAAGAATCCTCTCAGTTAAGGCTGCGTTTATTTTTATAGACATTAAAAAGGGTTACAGCGTGATCGCCATTTACTTTTCTCAGCTACTTCCAATGTTTCAAGCTGCTGTGTCGCGTCATTTCTAGGAGCTCAACCAGAAAGTTGTGAAGGACCCACAGTCTTGTACAGCTTTCTTCCACATCACGACACCATGTCGTGCACTGACCACCTCTTCCAACCAGTCCCAGTGCGTCAAATAACACGGTGTGGAGTCCACTGAGATGACATCTGTAGGATATGCCCAATCCACCGAGACCAGTGTTTCAAGATGGCGACACTAATTGAATTATCGTCACTGTGCTCAATCACACCTTGTTGAACCTCTGAATTACTAACATGGTGTCACCACTGGATGTCAACAATCCTTTGGAGACAACAGTAATCAAACACGGAGAGTCATCTAACATCCTCAACTCGGAGGCCAGTATTCGCAAGAACAGAGAAAAACCGCCTCACCGACGCGTTTGTACATTCGACCTTTTACAGCCAGACCAACATCACGAAGGCGCCAAAGATGGCCCAGATCGGCATAAGCCGCTATGGCTTTTACTATACGTGAATTGATTTCATCACTCATACCACTATGCACACTTACACGGCTATCCAGGTAAGCGAACTCCCCGACTACTACTCAAAGTGAGAGCAGGCACAGGGTCCTGCTAGTCTTGTAAAAGTGCCATACCTACGGACACTGTTCACCAACTGATCGACTACGTCAAGTATGAATTTATTCCATGAATAGTCTTAATGCTCATACTTCATATTATTTGATTTCATTGGTTCGTTCGGGGTAAAGTCATATTTAGCTCCTTAACATCGATTTCTTTGGTTCCATTTTTCAAATTCCTCTAATCGATTTATTGTTGTAACTCAATAACTTGCCTCTAAAAGTTTTTGTTCTAGGTCCTACCTTGATTATGATCAACTTTGTGAATGAACAGAATACGATAAACTAAGACTTACCTTTGCAAACATAGTTTTTCCAGTACCAGGAGGACCTGCCATTAGGATATTTCGATAAAAGCCTCTATTTGCTTTGGTATGTCTGGTTGCAATTGCAATTTTTCTCAAAGATGCTTCCAACTCAGGCTATGAAAAATGTAAATCCACAGAAGACAGGATTTTGAGAAAGGCAATTGTAAGAGCGCTGTCTAAGAAGCAAGCGAATCAAAAAGTCCAATCGAAAAAGCCAAAGAGAGAAGTCACATATTCCCAACAAACACAACGCTCTTACATAAAAGCAACATTAAGGTCTACTCAATATCGACATTACAAGCAGATAAAAACCGACATATGATAAAGTAATCCCCTTGAAGCTATTGCTCTATATGTCATAATCATAACAAAATCCTTATTCTGACTACAAGCGAAAGTTGATTTAATAGTTGAGGGGCCAATTGATTATTCGAATATGGAGATGTTTTAAGATCTACAGAACTTGATCCAGAATTTAATTCCATAATTTTACGTATTTTTGACTATGCAACGCGTGGAATAAACTCGTTTGTTGGCACTAGCTAAAACATATTAAACTAGTAGCAATGCAAAACAATACACGAATGTAACATGAACAAGTTGTAAAACTGACATTCGAAGTAGATTAAAATCTATACACAGACCAGGTATACCTAGTAATCTTATTACTCGCTACATTAGTTTTTAATTCGGTAGGTACAAAATTAACTAAGCATCTTATGGTCAGATAATTGCAAAGACGATATGAGCAAAGTGAGTTATGACACGAGCAAATCAAGTCGCGAATTCATTATTTATTCAGAGCCCAAAATAATTGTCAAGAAATAGGATAGTTATCAAGATAAAGCTAGCATCTGTTTATCCTAACACGCATTACTACATAGAAACACTTTTATCCACCACAAAGCTATCAAAAACTATGATCGCAACTCAACTGCGAAAAAGGCTTCAGATTGTACTAGTAATCTGAATCTAACTGATCACATGGCTTATGAACGAGTTTAGCGCTCTGAATCTTAGCTACACCACTAATGACTTATTATGAGGCACTAAAGAGTGAAATATGTACCACATCAATGGATGACACATAACTGACGAATTCAACCCAAACATGACAAAAATTTAAACTTACTCGCAAAATTATACCTTCTAGAGGATCCGTAGGACGCTGAAAGACCGTTTTGGCTGTCTAAAATTGAATGTACTAATATAAAAATTCAAACCTTGATAGGGTGACGACAAGTATCTACTATATTTAGTCGGGAAGTCTCACGCACAAGTGCCGGTTTACCTATACGAGATTCTACAACTTTAGTAAATGTTCCGATCCCATATTTAGCCCCATATACGCCGCCAGCTAATAACGTTAGTGAACCAATGACAGTGGCCATCTTGTTAGGTTCTGACAGGAAATTGCTGATACCATTACCGATGACAGAGCCAGCAGTTGTTATGGATTCCAAGACCGTTTGACGATACTCTCGGGCGTCAACACGTGCACGTTCTAGGCGCAGGTCACGATTTTGTCGTTCAACTTCAGCTTCACCCCTAATCTTTGCTTCAATTTGTTTCATTTCATTCTTGTGGCGAAGATCCGATTCAAATTCAATTGTTGCTGTGCACAGAAACAATTAATAAACATGCTTATTAATTATTATTTAAATCATGACTACCTCTTCGCATTGCTTCTTGTTTCTGAACGGATTCCTCCTGTTTTTTCAGATTGTCTGCCTGAGCTTTGGCCTACCTTTTAGTAAAACTATTCAAAAAACGAACCTGTAAAGCTATTTGATCTTCCTGACGTTTACGAGCCAGCATATCTTGATAATCGGCGCGCTGCTTTTGTATTCTCGCCTCCTCCTCTAGCGTTTTCCTGCGTTCTTCCTGCTGAGCTCTATATTGCTGTATTTTAATCTGTTCTAATCCAAGCTCGTACTCCTAGGTAAACGATATGAATGACACATTTCTTGAAAACGTATATATTTATACCTTCATTTTTGATTGATATTCCATCTGTAAAGTTTGTTCATGTTTTTGAGATAGATCAAATGCTTCCTTCGCATGTTCTGAAACACTATGAATCGAACATTTAATACATACTAGATGATTCAAGTTCTCTAGCTGCCTTTGCAGCTCTTTCAAGTGCAGCTGAATCAAATCGGTAAGCAGAAGCCGTATCTTTAGACTGCTTTTTATCCTGTAAACTTGCAGGTGGGCTTGGTGGTGGCGGGACGTCACCAGGAATGTCGAAGTCTTTTGATGTTTGTTTGCCAAAGCCAAACAACCAAGACATCTCAACCAACCACGTTGTAACGCTCCTGACCAAAATATCCTCCCTTAAGGTCAGCACTTGAGATCCTCTACAAGACAGAAGAGGCTAGAAAATATATCAGAAGTTTCAAGATTTTTGATATCGTTTTTCCAGTCCTAAATCCGGTTACTTTACAACTCGGTGAGCAAAATGAATCACCTGGCATTGTGAATTTCAATTAGTTTTACAGTTTTATGTGTGTAGCAGTACGTAAATCCTCGAAATAAATAGCTCTGTAAATTTTTGACATTGATGCTAACGCTTTTAGTTTTGCTTGGCAGCACTAGCTAAAGACATTCAGTCGAGCAACCTTACTCTGTCACTTATAGATAGATTGTAGTGTTCACATCTACAACAGCTATTTGGCTCAGATTTTATACATTGCAATACCCTGACCTGTAATTTAACCATACTGCCCTATCACATCATTCTCTACTTCTGAATCGGTTGGGATCATTATGTGAAGAGGAATTACTTAAACTCCGAGTATCAGTGACCGCTTCTTGTGGATTTCAAGTTCTGTTTACAGTTCTGGTTGGAGGGACAGGATAGATACACAAATCACTCATACAAATGCCACGGGCCATCATTGATAAAACTTTTTTAAAGTGGTAAATCACATTCCTCAGTTTGTACTGACTATGTTTATTTCATGCCAGGCGCAGTCAGTACCCTAACTACACAAAAAATACTATGGTATATTTCTTTACAACAAATAACGTTGGGTAAAAACCCTTTTTTCTCTTACTAGAGATTATAAAAGTTTGTCTACTAACTCTTCTACTTGTGCATCGAAAGTATACACTTGTTCATGACCGGTAGTATTGTGTAGCGGTAAATAAATCCCTAAAATAAATAGCTCTGTAAGTTTTCGACATTGGATGCTGACCATATGTTTTAGTGGACTCATCTAGCTGAAGGCGCTCGGTCAGGCATCTGCACCAGATCACGTGTGGTAACGCCGTGCTCAACATCAACCACAATCGCTAGCCAGATTAGATCAGAGAATTCCGATATATTGGTCATCGCCAAATATACTCTTCCGATCTCCTCGACTCTGTCTTTTGATTTCTCTGGGCGGGAACGAAATATATTAGAAGGTGTTACTGGTAGAAGCGTTGTCAAACACTGAATACCTGTGACATCATCATTGGTGAGACCGTCGTGATCTGGTACACCTAATTGCAACTGTGAGTCTGTTCCTTTTTGGGATTTTTATATATCATTGCCTTATTTTTTTATTTTTTTAAACATTGTGATTTTTTTTTCGTGTTTTTTCCTGGATATATATATTTTCCCCTCGTTCATTATCGTACTACATACTTCATCATGACTGAACAGACACCTAAAGTACTCAAGCTTAAGACTTTGTCCCCGCCTTCGTTTCAACTGATGCCTTTCTGGCCCGACAACATCGAAGCCTGGTTTTGCTACGCAGAAGCCGACTTTTCCGAGCACGGCGTGATCGACACACGTGCACAATTCCTCGCAGTAGTCAAGGCACTACCGCGCGAATTCAACAGGTACGTAACACCCAGTATGTTTACTAGTGATGTTTCCGATCCTTACGAAATCTTAAAACGCTCGATTCTTAAACGAGGAGACCTAACCGATCGACAAAGGTTAGATCAACTCTTCAACAATATCGACCTGCAACACGGTTCTGCGACAGACATGTTGCAACGGATGAGAGAGGTTATAGGCCCAAGAACTTTCGACGAAGGCCTATTCAAACAACTCTTCTTGTCAAAACTTCCCCAACAGGTGCAAGCAGTTCTGGTCTCGTTCCAGAACAACGCCTTAGACGAGCTAGCTGCATCTGCCGACCGCATTTTAGAAATTACGAAATCTACTACCGAGGTATTTTCAGTCAAAGAAAAACCTCAAACGACTCAGAATGATATAAACGACTTATGTCACACACTCACGCGTTATCTTAGTCTTCGTACCGACCGTAAGAGATCGCGCACACCACGTAGAAGCATTTCTCGTAAGCGATCTGTCTCTAGACCACGAGAGACAGATAACCCCGACTGGTGCTGGTATCATAACCAGTATGGAAAGTTTTCCAGAAATTGCAGGAAACCCTGCAATTTTCCCAACACGAAACCGACTGATTCGAAAAGCAATTCGGGAAACTTCCAAGCCGGCACGCGTTAACGGCAACCGTAGCCGGCGAACATAGCCGTCTGTTATACGTCACAGATGTGACAACGAGAGTTCGCTACCTCGTCGATACTGGCGCAGAAGTTAGCGTTCTCCCAGCGAATCCCAACGATCGGCTTCAAGATTCGGCTCTAAACTTACAGGCGGCAAACGGAAAACCGATCGCTACGTATGGGAAAAGGTACGTTTACCTTAACGTGGGTTTACGCAAACCCATCCACTGGATTTTCGTCGTTGCAGATGTTTCTATGCCAATCATTGGCATAGACCTTCTACAACACCACAATCTGATCATCGACACTCGCAAACGGAGGCTAGTAGACGGAAACACTAATTTGTCCGTTTGCGTAACTTCTTTTACTGGTTGCAGAGTATCCCCAGTCACAGTTAAGCATATGATAGACCCACTCTATCAACCACTACTCGATAAGTACCCTGAGATACAACAAACTCAAACGAAACTACCGTGTGTAACCAGCAATGTTACACATCACATCACGACTACAGGACCACCTGTATTTTCTAAAGCACGCCGACTAGCTCCTGAAAAGCTAAGGTTAGCGAAAAACGAATTCGATCACATGATGGACTTAGGAATCATACGACCGTCAAGTAGCCCATATGCATCTCCGTTGCACATGGTCCCTAAAAAGGACAGCAACGATTGGCGTCCAACTGGTGACTATCGGCGATTGAACGCGAAAACCATTCCCGATCGTTACCCGTTGCCTCACATTCACGATTTGACAGCCACCTTGAAAGGTACAACTGTCTTTTCGAAAATCGACTTGGTTAAAGCGTATAACCAAATCCCTATGGCTACTGACGACATTCCGAAAACAGCTATCATAACTCCCTTCGGACTCTATGAATTTTTGCGAATGCCTTTCGGTTTAAGGAATGCTGCTCAAACATTCCAAAGATTCATAGATGACGTTTTTCGAGGTCTCAACTTCGTACATGCGTATGTTGACGACTGCCTAATCGCAAGTCCGGACAGAGAAACACATCTCAAGCATCTGGACCTTGTTTTCGAACGACTTCAAAAACATGGCATAACTGTAAACGTTCAGAAATGCCAATTCGGAACCGACTCGTTAGACTTCCTAGGACACACTATCGATGCTCAAGGCATTCGACCTCTTAGGACCAAAGTGGCGGCCATTCTGGATTACCCAGAACCGACCACCGTCAAGCAATTGCGCACGTTTAACGGCCTGGTAAGTTTCTATAGACGTTTCATACCCAAATGCGCATTACATATGAAACCTCTGACCGACCAACTTCGTGGAAATGCGAAATCCATTAATTTGGACGACACCGCACGAAAAGCATTCTCTACAGTTAAGGAACTGATTGCTAAATCAACAATGCTCGCACATCAGGACACCCGAGCACCCATTAGCATCGCAGTAGACGCATCCGACTCAGCAATCGGAGGAGTCTTACAACAATGGGTTAACAACTCCTGGCAACCCTTGGCATTTTTCTCTAGAAGGTTGCTAGACACCGAATCGAGGTACAGCACATTCGGTAGGGAACTCCTAGCTATGTATTGTGCTGTACGGCATTTCCAACACTACATCGAAGGTCGTGAATTCACTCTTTTCACGGATCATAAACCGCTTACTTTCTCGTTAAGCTCTCCTTCTGACAAGTACTCTCCCCGTGAGTCTCGACAACTGGACTACATTTCGCAGTTTACTTCAGATATTCAACACGTCTCTGGAGCAAACAATGTAGTTGCAGACGCTTTATCTCGTATAACTTCCTTGAACAGTTTCCAAGGAATCGACCTTCTTAAACTCGCCGAGCTTCAAAAAGAAGACAGTGATCTTCAGCACGAGTTATCGTCCACAACACTTAAACTACGCATCAAACAGATGGGAACAGGTAAGGAAACCCTACTTTGTGACACATCTACAGGTAGGGATCGCCCAATCGTGCCGAAACATTATCGACGCAATGTCTTCAACACATTGCACAAACTTTCGCATCCAGGTGTTCGTGCAACCATTAAGCTTATAGCAGAAAGGTTTTGCTGGCCTGGAATGAATAAAGACGTGAGGGAGTGGGCACGCTCCTGTGTAAGCTGCCAAAAATCTAAGGTTATCAGACACAATAAATGTCCCTTAGGCTCGTTTAAAACTCCCGATGCTCGTTTCGACCATGTTCATCTGGATTTGGTAGGACCTTTACCAGATTCAAATGGATACTCTTATCTCTTAACCTGCGTAGACCGTTTCACTCGATGGCCAGAAGCAGTACCTGTCAAGGACATCACTGCTGAAACAGTGGCCCGCACCTTCGTCGAACGATGGGTAGCAAACTTCGGCTGCCCTTCAACCATCACTACAGACCGCGGACGTCAATTTGAATCTGATCTTTTCCGTCGTCTGACCACACTTTTAGGAATCACTCGCTTCCGAACGACCGCCTACCATCCACAAGCAAACGGGTTGGTAGAACGTTTTCACCGACAACTGAAAGCTTCGCTATCAGCTGCAAACGTTTCACAGTGGACCGACGCTCTTCCACTCGCCTTACTAGGTATCCGCAATGCAGTGAAAGCTGACATTGGATACACTGCGTCTCAACTCGTTTATGGAACGACACTTCGACTTCCAGGAGAATTCGTGGATCCTTCGTCCTCTTCAATGAACATGGATCTAACCTCCTACACGAACAGGCTTACAAACGCAATGCGTTCAGTTAAACCTGCTTCCACTCGACCCCAATCAACTGATGTTTTCGTTCAACCTGACTTACGATATAGTACACACGTTTTCGTTCGTCGAGACTCGCATCGACGACCATTCGAATCAGCATACGAAGGACCCTTCAAAGTTCTTCAACGTGAATCTAAGT